TCGCACATCCAAGTTTTGCTGGTTTTCTGATACACACACACTGCAACCACGGACCTTCCTGAGCATGGTACGAAACTCCGGACGGGATGCATCTCTGAGCTGAGAGCAGCGCTGCATCAGACGTCTGCCGTGAAGCGAACGCGTCTGTTGTGCTCCGAATGTGGCTCGCTGTACCGGTCCGGTCCGGCGCGGTCTCCGGAATTTGATGCTTTCCACTTTGTTTTGACAGCACTTAAGGTATTAGTCAACAGCTGTGGATGAGGTTTCGTCTACCGTGCCTTCTCTGTTAATCACTAGTTATAAATTATGTATCGCATGTTCATCAACACCCAATTTGTGGGCATCTAAGATCGTGTTGGCACAAACTTTGCAGTGCTGCTTTCCAACAATGTTAGATCTGGTGACAGGTAGCAAATTTTACACCGAGCCGTGCGAGGGCCGCCAACCACCCTCCCCTTCGTCCCGAATTTTACACCGGGCCGTGCGAGGGCCGCCAACCACCCTCCCCTTTGTCCCGCATTTGCGTCCTTAGTTTTTTCATTATATGTGGCCCGCTACCGAAAGTAAAAAATTGGCGTGATGCGTATTCACCACGCTCTGCTCTCTCCTCACCCTCCCTTAAGAAAATGCTGGCTGCGCCCCTGTTGCAAGGTAACGGGTCAAATGAGAAAGGTAGTGTCCCGTCGGAGCTCTTACCCTGTCTGCCTTGCTTTGCGCTTGTTTCAATTCTGTCACTGCATATTTTACGACCATGTCTTCTCGAAACACGGTAACCATTAACAATATTAACATCTTAAATCATGATAGTTGTTCTGTGTGACCGTAAGCAATACGCCCGATAAATATTTGAAACGTGTGTGCAGCGATCGGTTAGCTTGTTGGGGTGTACCGACCGCCCTCTGCTCGCAATTATTCCCATCTCGTCTACGGCTATGTGATCACCAATTTAAAATGCAATAACATTGCAAATAATCTATCCCAGAGAGCTCGTGTAATCAACTGGGCTACACAAATTCCCTCTAAAGATGGTCATCAACTTGATCAGGCTGTGGCGATCGCGGCTGCTACCTTTCCCAGATGGATAATTGTAAACCCAAATACTGGTCAGAAATACCGGAAAGGAATTGGAACGTCTGTCAACAGCAGCCTGGGGCTTCTTAGAGGAGCCCTGACAGCGGCAGCAGATAGTCGGAACGAGATTGACGCATCAGCGGAATCCGATAACGTCTTGTGGAGGTGATTTGCTGCCCCAGATTTTTCCGCTGACTGCACAGACAAGTTCCGAGAGGTCAAATGCTTTCCTTTGGAAAACGGTCAGCCTATCAGGTTAATGGTGCTTTTGTTTCCATCGTTTAAAGTGGCTAGAATTTATTTAGTTATGAAGAACTGTTTAAGGCTTACGTCCCAAACTGATGTCATCTTCCCAGATACTTGCTCATTTCCTGTCTCAGCGGCTTGCTAACAACCGCTGCTTACGTTCCCGAAGCTATGGCCCCGTATTTTGGCATTTTAGGCGTACCGTGATTATATAATCCCATGTCATTAAGACTTAGCTAAGTTTTATGACGACGGAACATTATCATGTTCTAACTTCAACAGAAATTAACCGAATAAGATAGAACGACCACAACACCGCATACGTAAGAGATGCATAAATATAGACCAAGCAATCATTCAATTACCAGCATGTTTAAAACGCTCGATGCTTCAAATGCTATGACATTTTGCGGAGCTGCTCAAATGTCCGAGTAAGTGTAAGTTCTGACTGGGCATTGAGATGAACATCTCGTCGATACCTCTTTGCCTGTTACGTGGCTGAGTAACTTGACTCACAAGCCACCAATGTTGGCAAACATCAATCAATCAATCTACTATGGTCCACTTAAACACCTCATCAACTAACCCCATCAACTGACGTTTGGTCTCCAGAAAAATAATCAGCTCTCAAGTGAGCAAAAATGGACCGAGAATGCCGCCCGCATCATTCGACGAAGGCTCATCGATCCACTCGTGCAGGAGTGGTTCCCCATCCAGCGGCCGGGCCGCGCTACCAACTACCCACCGCGTCTCTCGGAGCTGCCCCGTCGGCAGGCCGGGGCGGCGCGGCGCCCAGGCTCGAGCGGCGCCGAGGACGCCTCGCGGCTCGGCCCAGGCTCGAGCGGCGCCGAGCACGCCTCGCGGCGCCCAGGCTCGGGCGGCGCCGAGGACGCCTCGCGGCTCGGCCCAGGCTCTCGAGCGGCGCCGAGGACGCTCGCGCGGCCAGCTCTCGAGCGCGCCGAGGACGCCTCGCTTCTCGCCCACTCGAGCGGCGCCGAGCACACCCTCGCGGCGCCCAGTCGGGCGGTGCCGAGGACGCCTCGCGGCTCGGCCCAGGCTCGAGCGGCGCCGAGGACGCCTCGCGGCTCCGCCCAGGCTCGAGCGGTGCCGAGGACGCCTCGCGGCTCGGTCCAGGCTCTCGAGCGGCGCCGAGGACGCCTCGCGGCTCGGTCCAGGCTCGAGC